TCAGAGGAAAAAGAACTGGCCATTTGGACCTGTAAATCACCTTTCTCCAATGAGAATACTAGGCTGGTTCCAATGTTTTGTTTTAAATTTAAAAAGCTGGAGTTAAATAAATGCTCATTAAGACATTTATTGATGCAGCTCCAGACGTTCCTTCCTCGAAAGAGCGTATCAGTCAGTAATCAAGTGAGATTTGAACAGTGCCTACAAATCATGCATGCTTGTTTTTTCAGTGCAAGTGATCAAACCCAGGGTCTCATGCAAGCTAGTTAAATACTGCTCCCCTGGACTCCTCCTGCCCCAAGATATGTGTTTAGTAAGGAAAAATCCACCGGAGATATTTACAGTTTTAATGTTCCCATTTTGCTTTTTTGACTACAGGTACTGATCGTGGGCATTACAGTGCAGCCCAACATCTGGCCACAGGGTTGTACCCTGCCCCCCATCCTGATTAGACTTTTCCAATACCCACCCATCCCATGTCTCAGAAACCTGTTTATCTTTTGTTTCAAGCCACTTTCTTTCTGAAGAACCTAATGCTGTTCATGTTAAATTGATTTAATGTTCAATTAATGCTTACTTAATGTCAACTAGATACTAACTTAGTAATTTAATGTGTCAATAATCAGTGTTAACATTAACAAAGTCAGTGTAGTTAGGGACATTGGAACCATGAGTTTTTTCTTGAGACTTTTTTGTGCCTTGTGCATTGTAAAACACCATCTTGATGAGTAAGGCTGTTACAGAAATGCGTGTGTGCTGCAAAAAGTTCACCGTGTAAAAGTAAGCAACAAGTAAAAGTCACCTCCACTTCTGTGCCTTCTGTGTCCTACAGTGGCCTCCAGGTTGTGGGTTCTGTGGTGTGGCTTTCCCCAAGGAATAGCTGTTCTTACCTGTATAGAAGGATAGCTTAGCAAAATGATCCTACACAGACACACCCTGGATACAACCCACATGAGTTCAAATCCCACCTCTTCTGCTACCAACTCTTCCCACTTGAACTCAGGATCTCATGCTTGGCAGACAGGCGCTGCACCACTGAGCTAAATCCCTGACTCCATTCTTTATTTCTAAAACAAAAATGGGATCTCCTTTGCATTTCTGTGAGAATTAAATGTTTTTATGAATATGGTGATTCTTGGCCATTTATCATCCCATCACCATCATTGATGACTTCATGTGGAAATGTGTGTCTTCTTGAAGACAATTGTGATGGCCACTCAGATAGGCACCTAAATGACAGAACTGGAGGCCTGGGAAAAGGGGCTGGAGCTCAGAGTGTGCAGAACTCAGGAGAACATGTTTTGGTTATGGGTTTAATGTTACTCTATAAAAAATACATTGAAATCCTAACTTCCGTACCTTTGAATATGATCGTATTTGGAAGTAGGGTCATGGAAGATGTTGTCAGTCAGCTCGACATGATGCCATAGCAGAGTAGGTGGGTCCCAGTGCAGTACATTTGCTATCCTACAAGAAGAGGTCTGAAGGAAGTACAGTATGACCCCAATGTGAAGATGCAGCAGACATCAGAGTGAGGCATCCACGAGATGAGGGATTCCGGGAATCTTGACAGCCAATAGTATTAGGATAGAGTCAGGAAACAGATTCTTCCCTTAGCTTCTAGAAGGAACAAAGCCAGCCAGCACCTTGATTTCAGACTTCTGGCCTCCACAGTCATGAGAGAGTGCATATATTGTTCATGTGTCCTCTTGGTAACAATATGAAACCATTGTTTTAATTCAAGATGCAATAACAAAGTACTGTGGTCTGGGTGGCTTATGAACAAAAGGGCTTTATTGCTCATAATTGTGGCGGTGTGAAGCCTGAGGCATGGTGCAAGTACCAACCAAGTCTGATGTGGGCCTTTGTTTGGTGCAACCCTACATGGCTGAACTAAACAGGTGTCCCTTCGTAGGTGAGGGCTCCACTCCTATGACCCTGTCATCTTCCAAGGGCCCCATGTCTCAATTCCAGGGGTTAAGACTCAGCATGTGATTTTTCCAGGGAACAGGAACAATCATCCCAACTCACTTATCTTCATAAATGGGACATGAGCTGACTTCTGGCTGCTTGCTTTCATACCTTTTATGTCAGGTCACAAATCAGATCCCTACCTAACTCTGGCCTTGACCCATCATGCTTATGTAGGGCCCCCAAATCACCTTTCATTCTTGGACAAACTGTTTTGAGGGTAGTAATGGGAAGCAGCTGAGATAACCCTTTCACTCTTTACTACTCTTCTCTCACAACCCCAAGGCAGCTGGATCCTATCCCAGGGACTCATGTAAGGAAAGCTGCCATCGCAGACTGTAACCATCGGTGCCCCAAGACCAGCTACCCTTGAAGGAAAGCTTCCAGGACTTAGTGGTGTCGTACGTGAGGCCTCATGCATGAGGCACTAAGCTGTGAACTCATCGCCAGGCTGTCTGACTCAGCCTCCCCACTACTTGAGTAACCAACTGTAGTCCTTGTGATGAAATTCCATGCCTGCCTTTTCCCACTGTGTCTTCACAGTTTCTGGTTTTTAAAATCAGATCTTATTGGTACATTTTAGATACATGTGATGATCATACTCATCATAGAGAGTTTATACCTGTGCATGATATAACTTGATTCTTTTTCCCCCCCTTTCTCCTATCCTCCCTTCACAGTTTCTACTTTTTGACTTGAGCTAAATTCTGAGGTGCAAGTTTGGGATCCTCAGGCATGATCTGATGGTGTTTCCATGCACAACCGCCTCTTCATTTGACCTTCAGGGTTGTGCAGGTGGGACTTTCTTCTATCAGGAGCTGTGGCTCCATCTGAATGTCAGGTTCACACCAGCCCAAACACATCAGCACTCTTGTCCTGTGAGCTCCACAGCAGGAATGGGCAGCAGCGGCAGCGAAACCTTATTCAGGTACTGGTCTAGGTGCTTCAAGCTCAGGCATTCTGGGGCTAGGGTCTCTGCAACCTTTGTAACTCCTATTCTTTCCTGACACCTGAGTACTTAGCAGGACCAACATTTGGTATTAGTGGGTCCGTGAGGGAAGTGGAAGGCACTGTTCCAAGGCTCAGCCCAATTCTCCCGCCCCCAAGCCCTGTCTTGGCTCTTCATGCTTCCGTCCACTTCCTTTGTTCCCCTGTTTAATGCATCCAGAAGGAACAGAATTTTGAGGAGTTGGTCAGATGCCAGCTATATAAAAAGATGCCATAAAAGGAAATTGAGTGTGTTTGCAGAGTCTCTATTTCCTTCTTCATTTGTGCATGACACAACTCTGTTCTTGAAAGGCATAAAGACACCATCTGCCCCTTGTCAACATGAGGCAAATGACTCAAACATTCCAGGAGGCCCTGTCCTCTTGGGTTCCAGGGTCTAGGAGTAGTGTAAGCAATCCCAGGTCAGAGACCAGAGAACCTGACACTCTCCCACCTCTGCATCTCACTGGCCTGTGTCTCTCTGAGAGTTGTCAGCAGGAGGCAGTGATGACAGGGGGAGTATCTTCCACATTGCCTTGTCTTGTTATCCTTGCTGTGCTTCTCACTGAGATGAGAAAACTGGACCTGACACTCCTCACTGATCTAACTGGTCTCAAGACATTGTTAGGAAGAGAATCCTCCATGAACAGCTCAGGAAATCAAGCCATTTGTGGTCCGCTGCTCTGTAGCTATTTTCTCTCTAGGTCTGCATTCTATATCTTGAGGGTTTAGGGGATACACAACTGTAAACCTTTTTCTTTTTTAATTAGGCATTGTTTAGAATGAAAACATCATGATGTGCAGTCAGCAGTATGGGGAGCTAGTGAGAGATGGCACCTGTATTATATTGTGTGTCAGCACAGGTGAGGCAGTTCTACAACAAGTGGCCTTGAGGTGCAGAAGCCACAACACTAAAGGCTTAATTCTTTTTGCTTATTTATTTATGTTGTAAAGATTTGATTCTTCTTGTGTACCAGTTTCCTTTGTGTTCTTCACCTGGGACCATGCTGATGAAGAAGTCTCTATGTGAGGACTTTTTAGTTGTCATGGAGAAGGGAGAAGAAAGCAGGAGAAGAACTTGCTGAAAGCATCTGCTGCATCCCTGCTGCTCATATTCCACCAGTCAGGGGCAGGTCATCTGACCAAGTGTGACATCACAGAAAGTATATGACCTGCTCCAGGGAGAATCAGTGCACCTCTAGAAGCATCAAAGCATCCTCTTGGCTCCTACCTGAATCCAGCAGCAAGTCTGTAGCCATCGCTCTCAGAAATGGGAGGTAAGACAGCCACAAGGAGAGTGCCACACCTTCCTTAGATTTTCTGATGTCAATAACAATAATCAAGAGAAGTGAGCATCAGAAGCATTAGGAGGAGTTAGAACATCTGGATTAACTCATATTTAGTATCAGTCCAGCTGTGCATTTCTTTTTTTTTTTTAATATTTTTTTTGTCTTTTTCGTTTTTATCGGTACCAGGGATCGAACTCACGACTGCCTGCTTGCAAGGCAGGCGCTTATGCCACTGAGCTAAATCCCCAGCCCCACTGTGCATTTCTCTAAACCCCAGATTCCTCATCTGATAAAGAAGGGTTTAGATTACAGAAGTACTAAGGTTGGTGCAATAACCATTCAGAAAACCAGTCGTGGCATGTGACCCAAGGTAGTGGAGCATAACTGAAAAACAGCTGGAACACTTCCTGAGCCCTCACCAGCACGTGACCTGGTGAGGGCCCAGGTCCCAAACTTGGGAATCTTAATCTGATTCTACACCTTGTTTATTTTTCTCCTTGGGTTGGTATGCTCTCTCCTTTTTCTCTGCTTCCTTAAAACTTGATTTATTCCTATGAGAATTCTCACAGAAAGGAGAGTGTCTTGCAGTTTTCTACACTCATGTATTGTCTTCTCAGTTTTCCTTGAATTTCCTGGATATTGTCTATTTTTGATCCGGTCCGCAGATCAATCCATGGGGTGTACCTGGAGGGGGAATGGGGATGAAATAGAAACAGGGGGGAGACAAAGAGAGATGGAAGCAAGTCGAGAGAGTCCGATCAAGCCTGGTTTATTCAGGAAGTGATTACATCTTTTATAGGGAAAGGGCGGGCTGGTGGGACAGGAAGAGCTACGGGGATGAATACAACAGGGTCATCATCACGTCCGGGTATGTGACATAAGCAGGAGAGGATTATGGTTAACATAGGCAGGTACATCATATGCCCATAGGAGAGAGAGATGAGGAGGCAGCAATGGAGCAGTCATGCCACTCCGTATATCTCCTCCCTTTCTGTATTATTTAATCAGGAGTATGGCAGGCCCTGTGAGGACAGTGCCTGTGTTAGGTCAAGGAACCTCATTACATGAACCCAACCAGTCCTTACCCGTCATGGGCTTGCAGGACAGCAATTGGTCCTGTGCCTGTCTTAGGCAGCCGATGGAGTAACATGTTTGTCCTAGTTGCCCGTCTCTGGCTGCCTGTCCCTTGCCACAGGGCAGTTAGTTCATATCATCATATGGGCCACTCGTGGGAATTCCTTCCTGGTAGGTTTGTTGATCTGCCATCTCCATCTGGTGATAGTGTACCTGAATGGGCTTTGCCATAAACACGTCTATCCAGTTATTAATGAGCATCATAATCCTCTGAAAAATACAAGGACCCACAGATAGGAGAAGCAACAGGGCAGCTAGGGGACCCAAAAGGGGCGCTAGGTAAGGGAAAAGTCCCCCCCCCCACTTTGAGGAGAAGGGGTTTGCATCCATTTGTTGTAGTCACTGTTGAAGCTGTTCTTCTGTTTCTTGGAGCTTGCCTCGCATAACACCGGACTGATTGACATAGAAGCAACTTTTTTCTGCAGTCTATTTGGCTGGTTTGTGGTCCTCCAGACTGAAAAGAGCCTCCTCCACAGTCACGGGGGTTGTGTGCATGGCTGTCAGCAGTTGTAGTCTGTTTGGCGGGGGTCTAAATCCACCATGGGTGTGGTACGGTCTGAGGAGAAGGCTGAGTAGGCAGCATAAGGCTCAGAGGAGTTGTGTCATCTGTAAAAGAGCACAGGGGGTTGTGCCTCAGGAAATGACATTATTCCTGGGCATCACATGGGGTCTTTGAAGAACTGTATACTTGTTTTACAAGGCACTCAGGTAGCCATCTAGCCTCTCTGTCTTGTTGAGAGTAAACACATACTGAACTGTGTCCCCATATGAGAACAAGGTCAGGGCCATGCAATGAATTAGTCAGAGGGTCTCTCCATAGTACAGAAGCAAATTGCTTTTGTGTTTCAGAATGCCAAAAATGCATGGCTACTGACTGTCCAGAAGCATCCAAATTTAAAAAATTAAGGATTAATAAGGCAGGAGATAGAATATTTTTAGGTGTCCTCCTTGTGGAGTACCATTCCCCTCTTTTTTTTATTTTATCAACAGTGAGTTTTAGGGAAAGATGTGCCCTTTTAACTATGCCTTGAGCTTGAGGGTTATAAGGTATGCCTTTTATATGATCAATATTAAGATGTTGACAGAAATGAGCAAAGGCAGAACAAGCATAGCCTGGACAACCACCAGCCTTCAATTGCTGTGGGCATCCCAAAACCGACAAGGTGGCCAACACATGGCTAACAACATGTCTGGTAGCTTTGCCAGGCCGGGGAGAGGTATAAATGAAATCACTAAAGATAGCTATAGTTAAATGAACATATTTAAGACTGCCAAGCTCAGGAATGTGGGTGACATCCATTTGCCGTAATGCATTGGGATAAGTCCTCTAGGATTAACCCCAAAGTGTGGAATTGGGAGGTGTACGGCACAAGACAGGCAATTTTTTACTATCTGTCTGGCTTGTTTTCTAGTGATCTTAATACAGCATTACAGAAAAATAAATGGTAAGAAATCACCAGTTGATAAGTTACATATTGTCATCTTAGAAATAGTTGTTCAGGTTACAAAATTAAAATATGTAAAGTGACATTTAAATAGTGACACTGCCAACAGTTCTGTTCAATGATCCAACAAAAACTTAGTAATATGTTTATCAATCCTACACACTTGTTTTTTATCTCAAAGAGGGCAAGACCAAACATATCAAAACAGAACAAAACAGTTTAAAAAAAAGATTTAAAGAAATACAGATTTTAAAGCAAGTCCACTGGAGATCTTTACTGTTTACTTAATTATCTCTAGTTTCCTCCAAACAGTTGTGCCCATCTTTATGCACATTACATACACACTGCATATTATAGAACTAATCAAATCATTACAGGATGATGAGGGCTCCTCAGGTTTTTAAGATCTGACATTGGGGAAGACAATAATAACTACCATAGTGTCTCTCATTCTCCTTTTAGCAGCTGTCCCCATTCTTACATATGCTGAAATTAAACTTAAGAGACTAGACCGATATCACTCCGATCAGTTAAATGAGTCAAAGTAATTGACATTGGAATCTCTATCTCTGGAGTCTTTTTGTAAAATGACCAGTCTCTCTACAGGTAAAACAGTTTTGTTTATGCTTTTAAGATAACAACTGTTTAACTGTAAACCCTTGCAAGGCAGCAGCCATAGCAAGGCCTTGCTGACAAGCGGTTTCAATGTCAATGGTACCAGGGATTGAACTCACAGCCTTTTATTTATCAGGCAGGCAACTGTGCCACTGAGTTAAATCTCCAGCCCTGGGGACTGAACTCACAACTTTGTGCTTCGCTTATGTCACTGAGCTAAATCTCCAGCCCCTGCTTAATGCTCCTGAGGAATTCATATTGCCCTTAAATTGGTTTTGGGCCTCTCTGTTGGCATAGGCATCCTCCACTATTAACATATTAAGGTCCCACCCACTGCCGGGCTTGTGTATTGCGCCTGGTGGTCTCTTTGCAATTTTTTGTATATTCTGATTTTTACAAAAGATTATCCCCACTGGATAAAATCACTTGGGTCAATCTTTGCCAATCTGTAGGTGTGAGCCAGCCGTCAGCCAGAGAATTTAAAACAGCAAGAGTGAAAGCAGCTGTAAGGCCATATTGGGCAACTGCTATCTTTAATTCTTTTAAAGCTGCCACTGTGAATGGCATATGGGTTCTAATGACTTGTGGAGCTAGCAGCGTGGCGCTCATGCTGTCTTGCGGCTGTGTGGCGCCATCTTGGGGAGGTACGTTTGTTTCCGTCATCGGAAATGCAATTTTGGGGAGGGGCCCACCCTGTTGTGGCAGAAGTGAGGCAAGTGCCATTTTAAGAGTGCCATGAAGCCTGCTGGAGGAAGGCACCATCTTAGGAGCACTATAAGGCTGTGTAGCTTGGAGGGCATTGTGCGACCGTCTCCTCAATCTGAGGATCTGTATGCTGCTGGGCAAGCAGCTCAGAAATTAAATTCCAATATGCAAAGGTGGTCACCGGAACATTTTCTGGACCGAAAACCTTATAATAATCTTTTAGAGCATCTCTTACTCTTTTCTACCTCTTGGTATCTATAGAGCCCTCTAGGGGGAACCAAGGGCAAAGTTTATGGATAAATTGAAAATACTGCAACAATTCTTTTATTCTAACCCTTAACCCTCTTGTCTTTAATGCCTTGCTGAGGCTTCCCATGAACAATTTATGTTCGCTCAATGCTTGACCCATGTCTGGGAAAGGGAATGGTGTTGCCGTTCACTCACCTTGACTCGGGCGGCACTCTGGGCAGTCGTCCATGCAGGCCTCGGTCCTTGATTTAATGTGCTTTCACTTCTAGCCTTGGTCCTTGATTTGGTTTGCTTTCACTTCTAGCCACGGTCCTTGATTCAATTTGCTTCCACTTTTAGCCTGCATTCTCGAACGGCTCCCTCGTTAACTCCCCCATGCCAGGAGCCCCCACGCTGGGCGCCACTTGATTGGCCCATGGATCAATCCTTGGGGTGTATCTGGAGGGGGGATGGGGATGAAATAGAAACAGTGGGGAAACAAAGAGAGAGGGAAGCAAGTCGAGAGAGTCCAATCAAGCCTCGTTTATTCAGGAAGTGATCACATCTTTTATAGGCCAAGGGCAGGTTGCTGGGACAGGAAGAGGCTACGGGGATGAATACAACAGGGTATCGTCACGTCCGGGTATGTGACATAAGCAGGAGAGCATTATGGTTAATGTAGGCAGGTGCATCATATACCCATAGGAGAGAGAGACGGGGAGGCAGCAATGGGGCAGTCGTGCCTCTCCCTACATATTTTTATTTATTTATTTATTTTATGTTGTCTATTTTTTGAATCTTGATTCTTGAGCTGCCTTCTGTGTTTCTTCCTCGTCTACCTCCAAGGCTTTCATGAAGCTGTACTCAATTGCTGTTTTAAAAATACCAGCTATTGTTTGGATATTGTCTTGGTTATCTCTTTTTCATTGATGAGACAAAATACCCAACACCCAAATGAAGTAAGGAAAGACTTATTTAGCTTACTGTTTGTGGAAGTTTCAGTCCATTATCAGCTGGCTCCAAGGCAGGGTGGCATGGCATTGGGGCAACACTCCAAGACAACAGCCAGCAAAAGCAGCCAGAGCAAAAGAGAAAAGAGCAAATCTCTTTTCCTTGCTTATATTGTATGCAGATCACCCCCAACCCTCAGCTCCTGGGCAGATGTAGCACTCACAAACCTCTGTGCCGTCCTCTTGTACAGAATGAGGATATTTAGAGGCTCCTCCCTTACTGTTCAATCATTTAGTTAAACTTCAGACCTTCTCAAATTGACACAGTGAACAATATCCCAGGAATGGTAAGGGCTTGTCCTCTACATCCCAGGATGGAGAGCTTCTGAGCTGCTTAGTTAACCTTCTAGATTTCTCAAATTGACAGAATGTATAAGCCACAACAGATACTTTATCTTATTTGATTCTCAAAACATTACCACAAGGAAGATATTATTTACCCCATGATAATGTCTACTTCATAGGTTTTCTGTCAGCCCAGCAAAATGTCAAACATGTAATACACAGTTGGCGATCAAAAAACAGTGACATAAAATCTCAAGTAAAAATTTTCACACCTGACTGCCGATGGTTTAATGTATATGAACTGAGTTTCATGTACAAAGTCATAAAAATAGTATATGAAGTTACCTAAGGCTAAAATCCTATAAGAGATATACAGAACATAAATGAATTTCTGTTTGGACCTGGTCCCATTCCCAAGGTATCTCATTATGTATATGCAAATATTCCAAAATCTGAAAAATGCAAAATCCAAACAGAGAGTTCCTCAGGCAGGGAGCTCCGTGGCTCCAATTCAGGGTTTTGTGAACACGGATCTTGTTTTCAAGAAAGCTCCAGGAGTGGGAGCAGGAGCTGGAGAGCATCCACTGTGTGGGTGTGGGCCATGACCACAGAAAGCATCCACTGGAGGTTCCAGGGGCAGGCTGTTTGACTCCACAGTGATGCTCTTTATTGTCCAGCCTCTTCTCAGGATGGGTGGCCTTAACTGCCCACCTCAGTGGCAGCATGGGCTGTTCATGGACCCTGTGACCTTACCTTATTTTGCAGCTGGATGTGTTGGTGGGTTACAGTGGTCCACTCCCCAGTGGGGATGGCTTGGGGACAGCTGCCCTGCATGGAGGTGGTTGCAGCTCAAGTAAACATGGGCTTATGTCACATCAGAGTTAAACTATAGATAAATGGGCTCAACAGACTGTGATCCAGCCAAAAAACACAATACTTATTCTTTTCAGCAGCTCATGGAGCTTTCTCCAGAATAGACCATCATTTAGTCCATAAAGCAAGTCTTAATAAATACAAATTAAAATAAATCTCATGGTACCAGGTCACCATGGAATGGAACTAAAAATTAACGCCAAACATGTAAACACTAAGTAATATACTTTGAATGATCAATAGGTCAATGAAAAAATCAAGGGATAAGTTTAAAAATTGCTAGAATCAAATTATAATGGAAATATAATGTGTCCAAATCTGAGGTAAAGCAAAAAAGAGTTCTAAGGGGACGTTTACAACTATGACTGACTACATCAGAAAAACAGAGCTGGACAAGGAGACACATGCCTGTAACTCTAACACTCTGGAAGTTTGAGGCAGGCTTGTGTTCAGTCCACTTTGCTGGAATTGAACCGAGGGCTGCTTCAAACTCCTATATACAATAATTGTATGAAGGCTGTTCAGCATCTTTATCCATAGGGAAATGTAGATCAGAACTACAAGGATCCCAGTTAGAATGGTTCAGTTAAAAATACAGTAGTTTCTGGCAAAGATGCAGGTTAAAGAAACCCTGTACTGTTGGCAGGAATATAAACTAGTACAACCACCTTGGAAATCAGCATGGAGGTTCTTCAGAAAATGAAACTAGGGCTACTATTTGACCCAGCTATATAACTCCTCAGTATATACTTGAAAGAATTGAAGTCAGCACACTAGAGTGACACCAGCATACTCATGTGGGCCAGTTCACAATGGCTGATTATATAAACAGCCTAAATGTCCATTAACAGAGGAGTGGATAAAGAAAACATGGTATAAATACACAGTGGAATTTTTGGGGAGTATTGGGAATCAAACTCATAACCTCACACTTGTGAGGCAGGCACTATGCCACTGAGCCATATCATCAGCCCTGCACAGTGGAGTATTATTACACAGTCATAAGAAAGTGAGACCATACCATTTGTAGGAAGATGGGTAGAGCTGAAGCCCACTGTGTTAATGGGTAAGCCAGACTCAGAAGCCAAATATGACATTTTTTCCTCATAAATAAAATACACCCACCCAAGAAAATGACCAAGAAAAAAGAGCAATTATAAGTAAGGGGAAGGGAGAGAATTAATGAAGAGAAAGAGGACCCGAGGTCCAGGAAGGGAGGAGAAGGGGAAAATGGAGAGGGTAAAATAGTCAAAGCATATTACATGCATGTAAAATATGCAAAAATGGAACCAATGTTTGTGTGTAACTAATAGACACCAATTAAAAGGCGAGGGAATAAGGGGTTGAGATGGAAGTGGGGAGGGTGAGGCCAAAGCCATGGAGAAAGCCCAGCAGAGGAGGAGGGAGCTGTGCTGCCCCTTTGGCTCTGGAAAGGAGCTTCTTGTAGCTTCTGTCAAGAGGAGATGACCTCAGAAGAGTGAAATTTGTGGCTGGGGTTTGTGTACGCCCCAGTCAGGAGGCAGAAGGAGGAGTAGGAGAGGGCAGAATTTAAGATGACAGCTTGGTGACATAACCATTTCCTACTGCAGGTGGAGACAGTAAAACAAACAGCTCTTAAGAGGTGAGATAGGGGAGGCTCCCGGTGAAGTTCGAGGTACAGGGGTTGCATGAGGAAGGCCAGGCCTGGGTGGCCTCAACTCCTTCAGTGGAGGGTCGTCAGTTTTGGTTCTTTGGTTATTTTACATTAAAAGTTGTCTGGAATACACCTCATAGCTTCTCCTTGCAAACATCACGTAAGTGTAAACCTGGCAAACAGCATGTTGAGAGGGCTGTCCTAGAGAAGGCTCAGGCCTCCAGGCTGTGTCTCTGTGTGTGAGTGCATGTGCTGTCAGCTTTTCCAACGTCATAGATGGCAATGCCCAGCTGGCAGCAGTCCTACCCCAAGCTCAGTGCTGAGAGCTGATAGGCCCTACCCATCCTGCCACCCTGGCACACGCTTCTCCACTGAGGAAGTGGTGTTCCATTCAGGGCATCAAAACCTGATTGCTGGGAACTCTTGGAGGTAAGTTTTCTACGTGCTGAGGCCCCTGATTTTCACAGGAACTCCATTTTAAATACCCAGAGAAGTGTCAGTAATTACTAACCCATTCCTCTGTCTGTCCTTGACATACAGTATTGGCACCATTTATTAAAGAGACTGTCGTTCTTCCAGTGAACACGTTTGGCTCCTTTATCAAGATAAGGTGGTTGACTGTGTTTGTAGTTGTGGTTGTATTTTCTAATCTATTACATTGATCTTCAGATCTGTTTTTATTCCAGTACAATATTGATTTTATTGTAGTAGCTTTTTTTTTTTTTTTTTTTTTTTTTTTTTTTTTTTTTTGGTCTTTTTCATTTTTATCGGTACCAGGGATCGAACTCACGACCGCGTGCTTGGAAGGCAGGCGCATATGCCACTGAGATAAATCCCCAGCCTCAGTCTCTATTGCTTTAATTTCTGCTCTGATTTTTATAATTTCCTCCCTTCTTTTGACTTTGGGCTTGACTTGCTCTTCTTTTTCTAGATGTTTGAGGTGTAGCATCAAGTTGTTTATTTGTGATTATTCTGTTTTCCTGATGTGGGAACTCAGTGCAATACATTTTTCTCTAAGGACTGCTTTCATTGCATCCCACAGATTCCAGTAAGTTGTGTTTGTATTTTCGTTTGCTTGTAGATAATGTTTAATTTCTTTAATTTCCTCTGTGACCCACTGATTGCTCAAGAGTGCATTATTCAATTTGCATGTGTTTGTATGTTTTTTGCAGTTTCTTTTTTCATTAATTTCTAGTTTCATGGCACTATGATCTGATAACATGCATGAGATAATTTCAATTCTTTGCATTTAGTTAAATATGTTCTGTGGGCTAGTATATGGTCTGTTTTAGAGAATGTCCCATGTACTGCGGAGAAGAGTGTATATTCTAATGTTGTTGGATGGAACACTATATATGTCTATCAAGTCCATTTGTTCACAGGGGTGATTCAGTTCTGTTATTTCTTTGCTGATTTTCTGTCTGGTTGATCTGTCTCTTGGTGTCAATAGTGTGTTGAGGTCTCCTGTTACAATTGTGTTATTACTTATTTGATTTTTCATTTCTGTTAATGCTTGCTTTGTATAGCTGGGTGCTCTTGAATTTGGTGCATATATATTTGAGATTGGTATCACTTCCTCTTGAAGTTTTCCCCTAACTAGTATGTAGTGACCCTCTTTATCTCTTAGGATAATTCTTGGTTTGAAGTTCACATTGTCTGCAAACAGAATAGTTACCCCCCACTTTTGCGGGGGTTCCTCTTCCATGCAGGAACATGAAGTATTGTT